GATTCCGCACCAGAGGAATACAAGAAACTTGCCGAGCGGTGTTGTGATGCTGATCCTGATAAGCGTCCAGATGCAGAAACACTTTATAGTGATATTTACGAGCTTAGTTATAGAGAGGCTGACAACACATGGAATGCCGTTTATCATAATGATGTAAAACCCTTATCACGTCTCGAGAAGGAGAGTAAATATTCTAGTAAACTTTTACCTGCAGGAGATTTACCTAAACCAAGAAATAGTTATGATATGGATTCAGCCGCAGGTATGAAGTCAACAACGGGTGTTGATACAAATGAAGTCAATTTACAATATTAACACAGTGCATTTCTTATAATTAGAGACTCAAACTCTTTTTGAATAAACTTGTAATTCAACGGGCTTATACGAGTATTATTCAAAGGTTCGAATTATACATAATCGACGCAGCTTTCACCGCGTTATTCCATCACCTACCGCTTTTCCCGTAATAATTTGGATTATTATCACGGTTATTTAGGGTAATAGTAAGTATTAGTATTATGACCAATAATAAACATGTATTTCTGGACGGCTTTCTTAAAATAATCCGAACGGTATTATTACAGCCGGGTTTGCAGATCCGGCGGATAAATACTCGATTATGATGCGCTTCCGCGTATTAGTATGTCAATACGGTTGATGCCGAAATAAAATCGTGCAGTTAGCTGCCTTTTCCGGGGTAGATCATTGACTATGTAAGAAATTATTTATTAAAAGTAAATCTTGAGACTAATGTTTTATGCAATTGGTAATGAGTTTGATGCTGAATAAAATACGTAGCAACATTCGAGCTCAGCCAGCCGGATGATGCGTGCTTCCTGACATCATTTTCATACCCAAACCAGTTCTTTTCCAAATGGCCTCATGCAGTCGGCCAATAAGGCCTTGATAGACGCGATAGCCACTTAATGACTAGAATGCAGACAAGAATCCTGGATATGCGATAAAGCAGATCCCACACCTGCTCGAATCTTGCTGTAAGAACTAAAACCTTAGGTCATTCCACGGTATAGGTATTACGAAAGTGATGAATCATCAATCCACATATAAATAAAGACCTCGAAACCTCAATCCACTTATATCCCTCAAAGACGTATCGCCACTCTTTTCATGATATTCCTGCATAACCTTAACGGCCCCGTAACGATGCAAGTTTATTTAACGGCATACACAAATGCCAACCATATATGGCAAGACGATTCCGTACAATTTAAAAATATGACAAAATTTAGTTCGTGACGCCTACCCTCTTTATAAACACCCGCTAAATCCAGCGTTGAAGGGTGTGTTGAAAAAGTGATAAAAATTGTAGGCCATTGATCAATAATAATTCATAATATTAAATAAATTTATTGCTTACGATTGTCATTCACTAGGAACAAGTATAAAGAATTTCTTAATTAGACGCCGAACGTTTATAATTAATACACTCTTCGACTAAGAATTATTGTTAGTTGATATTCTAATAATAGTTCTATTCCTGTGCGTCGTTGCTGAACGGAAGTGTCTATTGCTAAATTAAGCTGGATAGGCCAGCTAGTAAAAGTTAGATTAATATCTAGTTGTAATTAAGCGGATGCTGGAGTATCAGACCAGACAGGTTATCGGTGCAATATTTTTAATTAAATGTGGTTTAGCACAACATTCGAGTGAGAGTTTATACTTGGCAATATGAGGCATAAAGAGCCACCTGCAAATTTTAGCTACGCCTTAATTGACGCGAATGTGTAAGCAAGACCACGTTTAGAGCTAAATTTTGAGAATATTCCCCGTTAAATTTGAACACAAACGCTCTCCTATGTGACCGAACATAACAATATGCTATTGAGATTATTTTTGCATTAATAAATTTCGATGTACAATGGAATCAAATACTTGGTAGTCTCTCACATTTAACGGCAATCTGGGGGTCTCTAAGGTTCTTGTCTATATTGCGTTCAAACAACCCCCCGATACGCATTTTGTGGGAGGAGACTATAAATACATACGACACGCGATGTTCTAATACTGTACTGTGTAACGTGAGCAAGTCGCGTAAACAATACATTCTCTGTCGCACAGATATCATTCGCTGACTCGATCGTCAGGGCGTGATAACGATAATGATTAGCATTCATGCATTTCCGCCTGAATCTGGCCAACATTAAAATCTTGGAGGTACAGCACTTTGTCTATATTATGCCAGATTCATAAAATCCTTTTTCTATCTTCTTGATAAAATGCAATTATCCAGTTTATTAATGCAACATGATAAGAGGAAGAAATAGATTTTAAAAATGATGATATACCAAATTTACACTGTTTAGAATGCATGTCGAAAATAGTAGTGTACAAATAAATGGATAAAGTGAGTCGAGCCACACAACTGCATTAACAACACATCTTTCTTTACCACAATAAATTACATTACTCCTTCCCTTATAGTTCCTCCCTTTTCTTACTAACCCACATTTCCAAATTTCGAATATCTGCCGACACATTTCTTTCACCTTATTCCACGTCAACCCATTCACTCCCCATCCTTTCGCCAGCTTCATCCACCCATACAACAGCTCTGTCCCTTGCGCTCGGACTTGTCATTCTGCAATTCTAAACTGCTTTTCAAAACCACGCACTCTTCCTCCCCCATCATATTCATATCAATGACTTCAGGCGTAACCATCCGAGCAATGTGTTCAAACGCTGCTTCGACATTGATTCCCTCTTTTGCGCTAGCCTCGAAACACTTTATCTTCATCGTCTTACCGCTGTAGGTATCTGCAAACGCTCGCGCTTGACGTCGAGAGACAACACGAGAGGAAAGATCGATTTTATTTCCGATTACGATTAATGGAAATTCCAACGGGTCGTTTGGTGATGCTTGACGCAAAAACTCGGTTCTCCAGCGATCGAGATGTTCGAACGTCAAGTAGTTGTTAACATCGTATACTAGCACACAAGCATCTGCACCACGATAGAAAGCCACACCCAGTGAGGCAAAGCGTTCTTGGCCTTTGTGCAGGTTGTGAGAATGGGCAAAAGTGAGAGTGAAATTAGAGTGATATTGGATAAGGAAATGTGGAAAGAGTTGTGAGTGTATTGAAGTCATATTTGACACTTGCATTGACAGTCTCAGTCCCTTCGTAGCATCGATAAAAACTAGCATTCACAGTTACCAGCAGTATCCCATATCTGTAGCATAACCTTTCGGCCGTTATCAAGTCTCACTTCTTTTGTTATAAAGTCCGCTCCAATCGTAGCTTTGTAATTGTTCGTAAATCGCCTATGTATGAGCTAATGGGAAGAAAACTTGTGAATTCAGCATCCACATAGGAAAACATAAGACGTGTCTGGATTTAAAACTCACCTGGTTTCGAAGGCAAGTCTGATTATAAAAAAAGACCATATAGCCATATTAATTATCGGCATCTTTGTAAACGAATTCACGTTCTCTTCCCATTTCCTGCCTCGCAATTTGTAATATCTACCTTTCCTACACCCCCGTCTCCTATCAGCACAACTTTCAATATGTCTTTACTCTTCATATTACTATTAGTTGAGCTCCTTCAGTTTAGACTGCTGGGAATATGATATCGTTAATTAAAGGGGGGTAGGAAAAGGGGTATGGCGTAACATTGCGATAAAGTGTGTCCGATTTGAGTATCTTGTGCAGTCACACGACTGAAGATGCACGGTCGATCCAGTACTGAATGTTTGGTATATGGTAACGTCTCGTGATTAGAACTCTGAAATTTGCTTTAGAGAATTCCTTTCAGAATGATATCGGACGTCCTTGATTTAAGACAACCCCCCATAATCCATCCTGTTTGGCAGGCCAACTGGAGATCACTATTCATATATCAAACCCCAGTGAATGATGTTGGTATACGCTAGGATTGACAACGGTAACGTTTTAACACTAATAAAGAAAGCTTGCCCATTAGAGCAATCGTGGCAACGAAGTGAAAACGCAATTGAAAGAAAAAGATCAAACCCTTATATATTAATTTGCTCCGATTTTTTGCAACGGGTATTTGACCAATTATAAAATTAGGAATGTTCTCCTATTTTGAGAGAGAGATGATTGGTAGATGTCAATAATATGTCGAGAGTTTTATTCCGAGGTAATACTAAATATAAACGGTTTAAGCATAAAAAGCCCTGCTTGCAAGCAGTCACATGATTATTTATACAGCGTCTACCCAGCATCATATACAAATTATAGAACATATTATAAGACTTTTTAATGCAATGATGATATCAAGTTTAAACTTATCAATTATTATTATTTATTACAAGGATCCATTGTCTATAATAATAATACGAATCGAATTGCGCAGAGGGTTCCAAGTTCTCGTTATTATTATCAAAGCTTGCAAGAAACCCTATGATAAAACACGAACGGTTTTCATGCAGGTGTGTATCGCCTAATAGATGGCGCATCAATCATCGCTATTTCGTCATAATGAGGTCGCATGAGAGAATCGACAGCAAGTTATGTGCGTGAGGCTGGTGACAACCGACACTCAATGGAAGCGTCCCGCGCTTCGATTCAATATCGCAGACCCCCCGTTTAACCTGACGAATCCAATGTGCTAGACTTCTAAATCTAATTGCACCATCATGAAGTGTTCCACATATTCAATCTAATTGGGTGCTTTTGGTATATTAAAGCATCAATATCGATCTAAGTTGCTTCTTCGTGATCGTCAAATCAACATTCTGAACGTTGTCTGAAGACCCGAATGTTTTTTTGTCAATTATATCCATTCATTATGCTTAATCAATTCATCCAACAAATGTTGACCATCTTTTCTAGGGCCTATAGAAATGTACGAATCCCCAAACAAAACTTCTCTCCTTTTTGTTCTGTCAAACTCAATATATTTATTGATACCTTCTGCGTGGAGACGCTCAGACTGAGGCCTGTTGCCAGGATCATATTTGTACAGGCAATACTCGGGATACATATATAAGATGCATAATTTGTCTAACTACCTACTGATTACTCTTGCAATTCACGTCAATATCGTTTAAAAATTCATCTCTTCCCTCCGCCGCACGTTTCTGTACTTCACTAAATTGATAAATGGATAGTTTAAAATGTCTGGATTTACAGAATTTCCAGTAAAAAGTTCTGCCACACCATCTATTTTATATCTTCGTTCCTTCAGTTCGTTGTTGCATATTGAGGAAATGTTGTATTTTTATCCATGCATGTTTTAACAAGCGTTTACACACCATGTAAGTGTTGTTGCATGTATCGAACATTCGTCAAATACTTGTCTTCAGATTCAATGGTAGGTGCTACTAATCAACTCCCTTTATCATGGATATGAGTCGTTTGATATAGGAGGTCCATGTTGAAAGGTTTCTGTTCTTCCATTACTGTAATGGATGGTGGACACGCAAAACTCCAAATAGAATTCAGGCTGCCAATGGAGGACATACTAAATATTGATGTATTAAAAATAAAAGCATGCAATACTTTTGTCACCCCCTTGTATATTAATATTATCGCCTGTTGGGTGTTCGACTTTGAAGATTATAAGTGCTGGATTGAATTGATCGAGCCTTTTCATTAAAATTATGCGTGCCAACCTCGGTAATGATTTGACCTCATTTGTTGTATTTATGTTGCCGGAAGCGTTCTTCCATGCATTGTCCTTTTCATTAAATTTATGCATGCCAACCTCGGCAATGATTTTGAGATTGTTCTGTCGTATTTATTCAGTAACCTCAAGAACGTGGTTTTTCTCAGTGAGATCAGGACCTAATCCATATGAGAAGGTACGATAACAATCATCCAAATCGTATCTGACTTGAACAAACTGGAAATTCCTATGAAGACATGATATTCGAATTCATATCTCCACAGTCCAATTGTGTTTCAGTGCTCGTTTTACTAAAGGTTTATAATCCCTGTCACCAGCAATCAAAACTAAAACACCAGGATCATTGGACGTAATTGTTTCTGTTGCTGATATTACAAGTTCTGTGTCGACTTCATTTTCACGGTGGCTTTTGATGTCCCGATCAAATATATTCACCTCAAAACCTTGATCCCTAATGCGAGCCCACAATGAATCGTTAGAAGGTGGTCGAGAAACGTTTTTCCATGCATTGTCCTTTTCATTAAATTATGCGTGCCAATCTCGGTAATGATTTTGAGATTGTTTCCATGCATTGTCCATTGCCACCAGAGCTTCAGCTGGCGACTCATAATTGGAGCATCCACCATCTCGCGCAAAAAGATTCCAATATTCGTTATTATACCAATCGATCCACAAGTATGCCCACAAATGAACGAAATTTCTTTCTCAGCAATAATATTCGCCTCTACAACACTTTGATGATAGATTTCCGTTGAGGTAGGGAGGGAGGAAGAGAGAAGGCTACCGCTACAGTACACACGCTAGACTCATGATATTAATATTTGTCTATCTTTTTCCTATTTCTATTTTTCTTTTTCCTTTAAAGTGTCTTTTTTAAAATTTGAAAGGTGAATTGCATTCAGTAGAGTAGAATAATAGTGTAAGAGTTATCATGGTTGTCTTAGTAGCTCATATCTTAACCAACAAGGCATGTTTTCGGAGACGCGTTCACAAGTCAAAATTTATCTTGGGAAACGTCATCATGGGTCGACCAAGCCACAGTGTTACAGCACGCCCATTATATTTCCGAGCTTTTTCTCTTCCTATTTTCTAAATTCCAAGATGAAAGACGTTAAAGGCGCCAGCGAAGGTAAATTTGATCCATAATTCGTATCTTCTATCGAATCAAACAACGCATTTCGACTGACGGCTTGATATTTACCGTATAGACGATGCCAATTTGCTTGTTCTCATAATCGACACAAATCCTTTCATGTGGACTAAATCAACAGAGTCTCCTTCCGGCCTGTCTCTCGATAATGCTTTGTGCCAACTTTTGGTCTTTATTAACGCGCACATGGCATTAAAGCACGACAATAAATTGGCTGTAATAGCTAGTCATGTGGGAATCAGGTAGAGAACATTAACTAAATTCTGAGGTTTTATACTTTTAAAACTTTGCCCACTCATTGGCAGTCAATGTGGAAGCAATTTGTTAGTAACTTGGAAGTTACGATAGCAAGTTTCTTTATCCTGCAACCAACGCGGTTCAAGTAAACAATAATTCAGATTCTGAACAATCGAAAGATACAAACATGTATCAGACATTCCGTGCGGTAAACAATCAGGTCACTGCGGGTGTACGAGCGTTAATGCAAGACGCGCCGACGCTGGAGACGTATCCTGATAAAGGTTTGTCATTTCTTTAGGATTTGGAGAAGAGTCTTGTCTTTGGCTTTTACTGATTGGTTTTTTGGTTTTTGAAGGAAGTTCAATGATTGCGAGTGCTCTGTCGATGGCTTTATGCTGTGTGTATTTCATCTGCTTATGATTACGTCTTTGAAGATTTTCAATTAAATAACATTATTTTTCAGATGTTAACCGTGTATTACGAACCGACAACGTTGGTCATATTAAACCAAGGATATTGATCGTGTCTGTGTCATCAGACTCGCCTTATCAGTATATTGGAATCATGAATTGTATATTCTCGGCTCAGAAAGCAGTAAGTTATTTGCTTCGTCTAATACGGTTTTATTTTAGACAATTCTATAAGCTTATGATGGTTTACAGAGCATTCCAATAGACGTCTGTAAGGTGTACGGTGAAGATACTGTCTTCTTGCAACAAGCAGCACACATCACTGAAGGAGTTTACCTCAAATTGGCTTCGCCACAAGGTTTTTTGCAGTATCTCATGGTGAGCATGGGTTACCTGTATTGTTGTGTTAGATGGATATATTATTAAGCAAACTAATTTGTTTGTCCGAATTACTTAGATTACATTTTTACCTGATCATTATTCGAGGAAGTATCTATGTCTACCGGGGCAAGAACATGTTGATTATCGTGCTGCATGCTTTTGCCACAAAAAAATAGTTGATGTCGGATATGTGTGTTCAGTGTGTTTGTCAAGTATGTTCAGTTTTCGTTCGATTGAGTATATTATATCAGTATGGGTATTACTGTAACAGTTTTTATTATTATTATCACGTTTAGTTTTCTGTCAACCATTACCTCAATGTTCAACATGCAGGTATTGTGTCATTTTAAACACAGTTCGTTGATCGTGCCCGGTGGAATTTATGTTTCAACAGTTCTTATTCCCTGGTTCACTTTATAATTATTTTACTTTATTAATTATAGAACCAAATTTGACCTAAATTCGTACGAATAATCATCGAAAGGCAACATTGAAGCAAGGAGGTATGAAATTTCCGACCTACATTTTCAGCAAAAAGAAATAATCGTGTTTACTTTCTAACATAATGTTTGCGAATTTGCAAAGGCAATAATCAACCTAAGAAGACAGCAACTTTGATCTACTTAACTCTATTCATAATCCCTTGGTGTTTGTTATTTTAAAAACACATTAATATACAACGGCTTGAACCAGCAGATTATAGACTAGCAAAATGCACACCTAATTTAGTGTTTCATCAATAAAAATGACTTTATTTGCGGTAGTTGGAGTAAAGAATGTATGCAAACCCTCCAATTTGACATTAATTCATAGAAATCGCTTTCTAACACTAGCGGTCACACTCGGTACTTTGCTTCTTCTGGGTGATAATAGAGGAAGTAACGCTTACTCAACCAAACAGTAGCCCTAATGTTTGATCCAATATTCCGCTTAAACCGCATGTACGCATTCAATTAAAAATACATCCATAAGAATTTATTCCAACAGAATAATGTCTTGCCGTAGAACTAAACGTCTACAAATATTGCAAATCTTTCCACCCGCGCGGTCTTCTGTATCTTTTTGCTATAATTGCGAACTGCAATCTTTAAGATCCTTCTCAGCATACAGTGCTGCAAGTGCTGCAAAAATAAAGTGTATAGTACGTTACAATTTTTAACACAACACATACCAACTTCACTCCGATCCCGACCCACACTTTTATACACTAACCGGCTCCTACGCCAGAACCATCTCTCGCCTGCTCGAGACTAATGTTATCGGCGGTCTTTCCTAAGATCTCTCTCATCGTTTGTTTCAAGTTATGCTTGAATCCAGGGTGAAACTCAAACAAACTTCCATCGATTCCCACTGCACATCCTTTTTCTTCCACGCCAATATGCTTAATTAACGCACACAGCGCACAAGAAGATAACCTTGCAGCGCGTAATCCGATCGCACAACATATCCTTTGCACGATCTGTCTATCAGTCAAAGTAGTCTCGGGTATCTTTAACTCGACTTCCAGCAATTGTTTGGTATAAACAAGGTCATCGGTGCCGTCTGCTTCAATAATAGACATATAGGGAGTCTTGAAAGCTCCAATGTTGTCGAATCCGCTGGAAGACCGTCCAGAGAAAAGAAGGTTACGGCCAACCAAATCTAAAAGAACATTGTGGACTATTTTGCCAAGATAGTCACCAGAAATTAGCTTTTCAAACATTTGTTCTCCCGGATTTAGCGAAATCCGGTCTAGTTTTTCGTCATAAGGAGTTAAACTGAGCACTTGACGCTAAAATGTAAAGTAAAGGTCACCGTATTTATCGGGTTAGTTGTCTGAACCATCATTACAAGAAACTATTACAAATTATGTCATATCACTTACACCTACAATCCACAGACCTCATTATCAAAAGCGCCCCACTCTATGTCTATAACCATCTTGCCTGAACAGTTTAGATCAAGCTTTGGAATGTTCTCCAATCTCTCCACATACGCAGCATTAGTACCAGTTCCAAAGATGACACCAATGATTGTAGCCGGATTTTCATAAGCGTGTGCCAACAAGGTTCCCGTTGTATCATTGACTATAGCCACAATTTTAACCGGCACATTTTTTCTTTTCAACGCCTCGCGTAGCATTCCCACCATGTCTTGACCTACTGCTCCCGCTGCTGTAAATCCTTTTGTCCATCTCACAAGCACACCCTTGTGGATTGCCATCTGATCCACAGGAAATGAAAACGTAAATCCGAGAGAGAGAGGCGAGTCATAAACACCGCCTAAATCGATTAGGAATTGGCGTATGCAATCGGCAATGAAATCGAATAGTTTGCTAGAGTGACCAGTTTTGAGAGAATCGGATATTTCGTATTTTTCTTGTTTGATTGTCAATTTTCCTGATCTCAGAAAGGTTATTTGGCAAACGCGTAGGTTAGTGCCGCCAAGATCCAAGGCCAGATATGTGCCAGTTTCTGTTCCGTTCGGGATGGATTTCACTATGGGTCAAGGGTAGCAGCAATGAAGTGAGGTCAGCTGTGTCGCATTAATTGATATGATGTTGTTATTATCAGAGAAGCAAAGTTGTGGTATAATATGCATGTCGATTGCTATACTTTATGCTATCATGTTTCTGTCTAAATTATACTTGCCATAACTTGGGATCATAGCGACCGTTTGACCTGGTGCATTTAATCCTTTCCTCATCTCTTTGATAAAGTGAGACACAATTTCATCGAGTTTATTATGGTCTACTGTAAATTGATCGATGACTTCATCCACAGCTATTCGCTGTGATTCATTCAAGTATTCAATCGATGTCATATTTATTGTTGGAAAGAAAGGAGACCCACTGGGCAATTTCCCATAGTAAATCTATCACAACTAATCCAGCCAATCGGCAAGTTTTAATTACGTTCTGCCATTTAACCAAGTACGATATATTAATATTAATATTAATATGGCTAACACTGTAAATCGGACAAATGGCCAAAGTCAAGGAATTGAATTTCCCACGCCATTTAAAAGAAAAACCCCTTTTTGTGTTACCAGCAGAGTGGAAACCGTATCAATTCATTGGTGAAAACCGCATACGCCAAATATGAAAAGCAATTGTACTTTTAAGCAGACTACGGTTTGTGGTTGCTTCCGAGAAAGAGTTTATGCTAAATATAGCATAATTTTAATGGGAATATGCCCTGTTGATCCTTCTGAGAAATACCCGAAAAACAATACGCGATGAAAGCATTTCTCATTCAAGGCCTTTATATTTCTAAACTTTTGTGCAAATCGGTAATACTTTCTATAAAAGGAGAGATAGGATTGGTCTAGAGCCGCTATTAAAACAATACTGGGTTTAGGGACTATTTTGTTACGGCCAAAGCAATAATGATGATATCTCATTGAATACTATCTGGTGGGTGTATCCAGTCGCCACTTCCCTCACTTGTTGAATTTTAGACTTTTTCCATATTGATCCAATTTATACATCGCCTATAATTTTCTGAAGTCGTTGCTCGGATTGCATATGTCTTCTACATCAGCGACTGAAGACACCTTAATCTTTTGAGCTGCAAAATATGCGTATATGACGCGCATACGCGTTTTGCAATAAATCAACTGTCTATTTTGTTAGCAAAAATATTGTAAATAAGTGACATCTTATTGACTACCTCCAGGCACTCTCCAGCTAACTGCCTTTAATTCGTCTCCTTAATACCGGACTCTTTTCTCATATCATATAGTCAGGTTCCTTTTTTTATTCGTCAGCTATTCCTATAATTCGGTTCACCTATCATGTTAAGATTATATCGGACAATTCACTGAGCTAATTATTTTCCGGATTTGGTGAATTGCAAGGTTTACTACTTTTCGCCGGCGTTTTGAAGATCAAACAATATGACGACGCAAAAGCACAACTTTTTTGGTTTATCACTGAACTTAAACCCACCTAAAAGGCGTCTTTGTGCATGATTCCTTTTTCTATCATCTGTAAGTACGTTAAGCCAATTCAGAAGTATACCGACTGAGCTCAGAGATACTCATCTCTAGGACGAGATTGTATTTTTCGTTGACATACTTACTCTATTCGTTAGGTTAGAAATTTTTGCGCGTGCTGATAAATTTTGTGTAACCATCGAATACCCTGATCATTCGGGATGCAACTTTTAGCTCTGTTGATAACGGAATTCGTTAGAGATAAACCACTTATAACAAAAAAGAAAGTCGAATCTATAGACTAATCATATCATTTACATGGCGCGATAATATTAGGAAGACTTTGGCGAATCTAATTCTAACCGCACCTTAATTTCACGTTCTTATATATTTTGACGCAAACACAATTCCTTACAACCTTTTTCTTGAAAATCTGGTCGTACACAATAACCTATTCAACCGCGTTAGCAAACGCTTTATAAGTTAAGTGCTTGTTTGGTCCATTTAATCAACTCTTCATTAAAAAACGTATACTAGAACGCTAGCCAACGTTTAAAATAAACGCACGACAGTTATCTGCGTTTATAATTGTACACATTCATAGTACGTGGGTATTCAGTCCGCGTCGGATCTACACGATAGTTAAACGTGTATGCTGGATTTACATTAGTGTGTGAAATTGTTTGATGCGCGGCTTGCGTTCTATAACAATTACGAGTGTATGAAATTGTTCAGCAAGCGCTTAATTTGTACGCGGGTTAAGTGTAGACGTTGAATTGACATTACAAGTGTTTACGTAATGGATCTACACGATCGTTAAACGTGTATGCTGGATTTACATTGAAATTGTTTAATGCACAGTTGAACGCACGCTTATAAAGCGCTTGCGTTCGATAACAATTGAAATTGTTCAGCAAGCGCTTAATTTGTACGCAGGTTAAGCGTAGACGTTGGATTGACATTAGAAGTGTTTACATAATGCTTAGTATTAGTCTGCGTTGGATCTACACGACCGTTAAACGTATATACTAGATTTACATTATAGAAATGTGTGGAATTGTTTAAACGCACGTCGTCGATACAAATGTAGGAAATTCGATAAGCAAGCGTTCAATCGTATGCAGATTAAACATGGGCACTGGATTGTAATTACAAATGACTACAAATTGCTTAGTCTACATTAGGACTACATGGCAGTTAAACGTATGCTGGATTGAGATTACAAAGTGTGTGAAGTTGTTTAATGAAAATACAATGGACGAGACATGTAGACTGTTTACACGGCCATTTGTGCTTTTGTTCATAAGAAATCAATTAACACTTGAATGCTTAAACTGTGAGACTAGTTTTACAGGAATCATATACAATATCAGTCAGAAATATTATTAAAGTATTTGAAACGCTTGATGAATCGCCTAATAAGCGTTTGCAGAAACCACACGTTTATGCGCGTCTAGATTAATGCGTTTAAGTGCTCGGGTAGCTGTTGACTAGTAATCCTTGACAAAACGCGTCATAAGCATTTGCAGAATTTACACGCTTATGCATATTAATCTATTTTTGATGCAATAAAAAAATAATGTACAACATGCAACAAAGACAACATGCAACCAAAAAACAAAGCATATTTAGTTGAGGCTCAACAGCTTCCATTCTTTGCTGTTGAGGCCTACGAGCTTCAACAAGCGCACCATTCATAGTCCGAGCCCTAAACACCAATTCTTTAATATCCTCAACTATCGTACTTTCGTACGATAGTTCTATTGGGTTAGGGCTCGTGTCCGCTTCCTCCCTTGCGCTTCTATCAAATTTTTCCTCCGAGTCATCGTCTCTGGAGGTCACAACGATCCCCGCAATGCAACGGTGATATTCAGCTCGTCTAGCAAGTAACCCACCGACCTTATTAATAATAATGATATTTAGAATTTCATAATTTATCAATATTTTGTATATACATAGTTTTTGCTAAAAAAATTTTCATGTTGTAAATAAATCTTACCGATATTTTTTGCGTGGTTTTTACATTGGATAACCACTACGCAACCCATATAAAAGACGAGCATATCCGCACCCCCGTCTCCAGATTTCATTCCTAGAATTAAGAAATATTAATGAGTAAATGTATCATCATGGTTAAGACCAATTTAAGAACGTTCACAGCATAAGCTGTGCCTCGATGCGCTTTCAATTCAAATGGTCAATGTATCCTATTCACCACGCCCGTGAACCTCACTGGCGGCTTTGTCGACAACGGAGAAGAACGCTCACAACCAGCAAATTATCATATCAAAGTGTCTTAATGTATCCTATTCACCACACCCGTGAACCTCACTGGCGGCTTCGTCGGATACGGGAATCGATATGTATATACACCCCACTGTGCTCACCGAAACCCGAATTTACACCCAGTGGCAGCGTAACTTCAGATACTACACTAGATTATGATAATTCACGGATTGTGGCCTCGATGCGCTTTCAATTCCGATATTTTACGTCCAAGTGGCAGCGTAACTTCAGATACAATAACCATTTAATAAGATACTCAGTGAAACTTACCCGTCCGCCACTCCACTTCATAACCCGCTTCAACCCGAATTATATATATCTTTTTTTCAAATTCGAGTCCTTTTTGGTTTGGGCTTGACATGACTTAATTATAATGTTAAAATAAACCAAGTTAATATAAAATATACGCAAGTTATATCGTGTACATAATAAAATGGTTATACCTTTGATTTTAGCGAAAAATATCCAAATGAGCTGTTATTTTCAAAAGAGAGAAGTTAGATAGATTCATTTCGATGAACGTTGGTTATTATTAAAAGTAGACAATGAGATTAATTAAACCAAATAAGGTATCTACTCACAAAAGTCAATTGAATCAGTCTCTATCTCAAAGGTTATATAATTTGATGAATGTCTGGCTTGTAAAGATCTAGAAAGTTCCTAATATGTCCTGATTCTGACCAAGCAGTTCTATAAAAGTAAAATAAAAATCAGTCTCATCATTTTTATGTTGTAAATGAAAGACATATCATACCATTCCTAAACTGCTCCATTGCTGCTAGTACTAGAGCAGTTTGAGCATCTGGCCTTGGTGAACCCCTCATCTACTTCTTCACCATGATTGTCACTTGCATGGTTGTTCACATTGAGACTGGGAGCAGCAATTGTTGGGGGAAGCAGCATCATCCCAATCAATTAGAAACCATTTTGATGGTACAAACTCACCAGGCAGCTTCATAACCAGTGGATGTCCTGATGGTAAATGGGTTTGAATTTATTGTCATCATGCATAACCATCATAACTGAATAATTTTTATGTTATAACTGTAAATATTTTAAAATACTTACTGCAAGAGCCTCCAAAACACATATCACAGCATCAAGAACTTCATTCACATATTTTGGGTGAGTAGGAATTCCTTTTGGTTGAAGATATACCACATATTCATTATTAATGCTGTCATTGACAAAAATGTATGAATAAATGAATGGGGGTACACAGAAAAGAATGAGAGATCAAATAGATGGACGAAATAAATATACAATGATATGATAACATGCACTAGTCTATCTTTCAAACTGTTCACATCATGGCCTTCACTCTGGCAAGACCACAACATTCAAACTATTCTCCCTCCATTGTTCCTACTCTAGTTAACCCAAATGCATAAATAATATGTCTCTTCTTTCCTCCCAGTTAATCTGTTGAAAGAGTTTACGTCTTATAATACAAGAAACCCATCTCTTCTATGTATGAAAACTATGACTGCTCTACCCTGTGTGCAGCATCATGAACCAAAAAAGTTCACTCTAGCTATATACTGTAACGTCTTCCCAATAAAACTATGTTACAACCATATTATGTCTACTCTACCCTATGTACACACTTACTCTATGTCCCCAATGCCCGAGTCACAAAGTCGTTATCACTAACTTCCTTTTTTCGACGTCCCAGCGCTCCGCCTTCCCACTCCCTGTCTGTTACGTACCTCGGACGACGACTTTGAGTGGGTTTCTTGCGGTAGGACCAAAGGTTCTGTCCACCGAACAATCTGGCTCCAGATTCAGGTCATCTCCGCCAAAACTGACTTTAACCGGTTTGCTCTCACCGTATCTTGACCCATATGTTGAAAGGTAGTGAGTGGCCTGGGCCATGGGCAAAGAAAAATTTTATATGGAGCGATTTGATCAGTTGCTTAATCAATGACGTATTATTAGGAACTTTCTAGACCTTTCACATTGTTCCCCTGTATATTGACCACTACGATGACCAACAGAATCGACGCGTTGACCACTACGATGACCAACAGAATTGATGCGTTGACCAACAGAAACATGTATGTTTTTTTTGTAAGTAATGATTGTACTTATATTTTAGGGATACAAGAAATCTTGCACGCGTATTAAATTCGCGTATAACCGCTCCAGATACGACACTGGAAGTCGTTTCAGATAAGACTGGCAATATGCCACAAACTTACCCACAAACAATTGCCACGCTTCGCGCAATGACACGTATGTATCCTAGCACAATCTGAACTTTATAATAATTAAAATTATTTTACTAAACTAATCATTTATAAAGGTCAAAACATAGACGCGCTCTTAACCTTTTACCAACTCCCAACTACTGGAACAGTTGAAAATAGACGCATACGCCTTGCGAAACACTTAGGAATTCGGCTGTTGTAATCGGGTAGACGTCTCATTACTATTCTCCTTCGTTCTACATAAGTTGAAAATTTACATGGCTGGTTCTTTATGAGCTACTTACTTAATAAAGATCTTTTCAAATTGGACATCCCTACTAAAGTGAACCGTATCCGATTTATAATTGATTATATCGCCATGGCATGAAGATCGAATCGGTAAACCAAGCTGTATAAGGACTATCGTACACGGTGCGGAGCTAGTGGTGAGAAACTGTCCGGTAGTATTATTCTTGAGTTGAACGCAAACGAGCAGGTGGCGGAAAACGAAGAATTGCAGTATACCTTTAATCGATCTAGAATTTCCAACACTTTGCAAGATAACTCGTCAATGGATATTCCCTGCAACCAAAAACACATAATTGTCCCGGCATCTGCTTTAACTGTAAAGAAACACCAGAAATGTATCCCATCAACCAGAAAAATAGAATTAACTCCATCCAATATATTACCCGCTCCTACTTTACAGATGAGATACGAGAACGACCGGGGGATGTTACCAGATTTAACTTCGTGCTACCGCCATTATTACGGTAGTTGACTAAATTTAAATCTACAAGTGACCTATTTTGTATAATTAAATTGTGCGCTTTTTAACTCCTATTCGAGCTTCAGTCACTCATTATCCAAATAAGGGTACTCATGATAGAATAATAACAACAATTATTCTACCGCAGAATCGAAGGGGAATAAAATCTATTTAATATTTAAACAGGGCCATCTCCGATTTGGTGTTTCGACTAGTCGGGTTCTGTCACTTGCCTCTTAATAAGCTAATTAAACGATATTTGCTTCAATAAATAATTATTGGCTCTCGTTCCTCAATTAAGAGGACAACGTTTACAGCTTAAATGAGTCGTTTATGGACGTTTACAGCTTGACCGAGCCGTTTATTAGTGTGTCCGGTCAAATAATTAATATTTCAACGATAAAATTTGATGTCCAAGGGCGATTTTCTTCAACAACGAACAATATTATAAGAAGCAATTATCGAAGGAGGACATGTCTTTGAACGATAGTCAAATTTTATTAGACAATACTGAGGGTAACTATAGTTATGCTGACTTATAAAGACAGCTTCATTATAATTAGTGTACCTATGGCCACGATTTGCAAGTTTGTCCACAAGTCATGGAAATATGATACAGTCAACCCTCTTTATAGTCACACCCTCTATAAGCACATCATATAAAAACCTCTTTATAAGCACACCATGTTTGAGAACCAATTACTATTGAACTTATAGGAAAAACCCTCTATATAGTCACAACCTCTTTATAAGCACATTTTCAACAAAAGTTGCATTGTTCCCGACAGCGTGACTATAGAGAGGGTTGACTGTATATGGATGCATACAACAAGAAATTCTGGACAGTGTGGAGGGATAGCAGAGAAAAATATGTTGCGTATAATGTATCACACAAAGTCTTATTCGCAGTAGCAGGCCGTACCGCGTAAAACTTTGCATAAATTCTGAGACCCGCGTGGTGAACTTTGATGTGTTTATGTATTAGTAACTAATACTTGCATTAATATCACATTGAAAAAAGTCGGTACGTTGAAGAGAAAGGTTGCTATAATAAAAAGACCCGCACTGCCACCCCGAAAGTACTCAGGATATACTGTACGTACGTAGATTGCAGATTGTAATGAAGTCATAAATAGATTGTTACGAAACCCATGTTTTCAACCATTGGTTCCAGATCTCGGCACGATATTTTCACAATCTTGTCTACTATATCGTTGCAAGCGCGTACAGACGTAACTACGACCCGAGATCGCTGCCACTTCGTCAAAAATTCAAGATTTCTGTAAAGTGATAGAAGGATCTTAGGCGTTCGGTTATCATTGGTAACAATCTCCTTCAAAACTTTCACCAAGTAATTGAGGCCGACCACTTTTTTGCTTACTATTACTGGCATTTCCGAGTACCATAACGCTGGATAGTTTTTTTTTACAGTATCACCTTAAACCCAAGAATTTTACCAATGTCTGATCTTTTGTGACCACCCTTGAAGACCAATAATTTGTGAGCGTTCAGTTATTGTTAGTTCACGATTTGCTCCCAAATTAATGATTTCATAATGTAATAGTAATAGTAATGTCAGTTTTATTTTAAAAAATTTCCCAAATAATGTTTAACATTAATAAACAAACTTTTGTCCGGGAAGTGTAGTTCTTAACATCTGCCACAGGCCTTTTCGATGGAATATTCCTAACCAGGTATTTCGAGATATACATCAAACTGCAAAACATGCTGTGACAGTACAGTGACCAGTCCATTGTTTTCCACGCATAAGATTAAAAAATGTTCGATTCTGTATTAGTATGTGCAACAACGTATGCTTGTCAATGGTTCCTAATTAGGACGTCATGTGAAAATTATATGTTGGTTGGTCCCTTGACGGACCAAGAGAATACTCAAGCAATGATACAGTCATGAATGATCTTAATTTCGTCGATGCTACCTCTACTACAGACTATTATACTCTAATCGTTGGTGGAACTTCTTTCAAGTTGTCTCCTACACTTTTAAGTTCCGATGAACCAAATTATTTCACCTACATGTTCTCGAATATGGAATCAAAGACTCTGTATATTGACAGAGATCCCGAAATCTTTAAAGACATAGTGAGTGGAGAGAGTTGTGCCTACTGTCTGACTATCATCAACATTTGCCTGTTAACCGACCTTGCTCTATTCTTTGTTCAATAACAGGTCAAATATTTACAAGGATACTGTGTCACTCCACGAGATGAGGTAGGTTTGCTTCACAGACCAAAGGACAAGGGTACCGAGATCAAAAGTAGATAACTTATGCCCAGTACTTAATATAGATTCATTTTGCAGATTTACTCGTTGACGCTATGTACTATAACTTAACCAAGCTGATAACACACTTGCGTAGCGTCTGCATTGTTAATGTCGGTGGCAAGATCTTTCGCCTAGAAAGGGAGATGCTTGAAAAACGCGATGCACCGAATTTTTTTACGTCTATGGGTATTATACCATATTATGAGTAGTGATGCACGTTGATATTAGTATGAAACGTAAGAATACTAAGTTGCTCATGCAAACAGGCTTTGGGCACGGATGGGAGCCGCCATGGGGAAGTTCGTTCATTCCGTTGGTTTCATTGGTTCCGGCCATGCCGCCACCCACGCTTGATCGCGATCCCGATACCTTCTCAGACATTGTTCGTTATCTTCGAGGATATGAAATCAATGTTAAAGATGAAGCGCACCGTCAAAATCTGCTCAACGATGCACGGTTTTATCGCCTGAAGGGGCTTAGGGAAAAGCTACTCGCATCGAGCATAACAGTAAACGGTTTTGCAAACGGCAAACATAACCAAAATGAAGTTCTCTTCCGATTAAAGGATGTTCGACCGGCTAATGTTATATTGTCAGATGGTGATAATAACCTTCCCGCTTCTTTGACTCCGATTAAGTACAAGAGTAGAGAAGGGACTATATATGTCTTACTTGTAGAGGCTTATAATTTTAATTTAATCTGTGAATACGGTCCGGTAACGCCGCCGGGACCAGGACAGAAAAGTTTCATACAGCCGACCCTTGGTCTGGTGTTTAATGAAAAGTATATACAAAAGCTTAAAGCCATTGCGAAGGCATTGAAGCTATCTGAGACTATTAACTTCGCAGCTCAGTCTTCCGAATCATGCGCTTTTGAAATTGATGGTAGCAAAACGACATTAGAAGCGCTTTCGAACTTTGAACGACTAGGTCCTTTAGTAAAATCAAACGAGTTCGGTAATCGATATTTACAACTTTATGTGTCAAGAAGTATCCTTCGATTATTTTCCAAGCAAGGTCAAATTGAGCTGCATCTTGTTAAATGTGAAGCGTTCAGTTCAGAGAGAGGATTTAACGTCAAACGGGAATTTTTATCTACTGATACCGGAATGGCTTTATAATATATGTAAATTTACGAATATGTAAATAGCCCGCTACATGTCAATAAATTAATTATTGTTTACAGCAAGTCTTTGAGAAAAAAAATCAAGGTACAACCATAGACGAAGGTGTGCTTTAACAACGGAACAGAATTTAAAACTGACTTGGCTTTGATTCTGGTTCTGACATATTACCTGATTATTAACTCTGTTATTCACAAAGGTCATGAAAATGCTGCAAATAACCCGCAACTGCTTTTTTTATTGTTCGCAGTTCACTGTAGCTACAAAGGAGTCGTTAAAACAAATATATTTTTTTGTTTATCTACTATTTAGAAAATTGGAAAAGTTTAGTAATGGATCAAGAGTGAAAACGAACAATATTGTTGTTGGTTATGAAGTCAGTGCCTGCTGACCGAACTGAATGAAGGAATAATTAAATTACAGAAGAAACGAATCGAATCGTTGAAATAGTAAGGTAAATGAAGGTAATGAGTAGATGTGGTTTAATAATAATCTCCTGAATGAGTTGAGAAGGGAGACATTATTAGAAAAATTATACATTACTTGACGTGACATAAAACGTCAACATAATATTATGAAATATCAGTAAAGGAAGATACAGTAAATGGGGTTCATAGTAATACACAACCGTTTGGTTAACTCAGAAACCAAGGGTGCTATTAGAGAGGAGGAACGTATATTCATCAGGTTGTATTATGTTCGCTCCTTTCTTAATCCTTTCTGCAGAATTCATGGTGCTACGATTAGTCCAAAAACTGAAGGAGCTGATGGCAGAAGAACGCCCCGTGGGACCGATAGTGTATGGAGAGAGAGCCGGACGTAAAAGGCGATTGCGAAGAATGTCTTCGTTAATACTTAGGATAAAGAACTTGGATTCCATGTCAGAGAGATTTCAAGCAAGTAACAAGTACGGCAATAATATTATATAGAGACTTGAACAAGTAATATCTGGAGATTTATAAGAAGGTCTCTATGGTTTGTGACGTGTACGCCTGTAGTTGACGCTCTAATGCTTTCATGTACAAGACCCGAGCTTGTCGTCTAACATAAATCACCCTTATATATGTATTTCTCTCTTTAAATTAAGCGCATCAAAGGGAGTCACATGGTCCTTTCCCCAATAAAACATATAACCATGTTTATCATCACAAGACTAAGTTGAATAAATAAAGACATACGAGAATAGGATTCAATATGTCGATTCAAATGGACAAAGCAAGTTCCAGCAAGAAATGAAACAGGTCACAAGTTGTGACGGCGTAAAGACATGTCTATATGTCTACATTTTATTTCCACAGCTTACCAACACCTTTGAATATTTTAATTTCATTGATTAGAAGGATTCCAGACTCCAAGTGTGTACTTCATTTTCATAAAACACATGCTTTCTTTAATTCATGGCTAAACTAATTTTAGTTCGGGAAGGCGGATATGGGCTCCGACAATCGAAAAGATCATCGTGTAAATAAAACCCATCTATGTCGATCTTTGTTTGTGCTTGAGATGTTACACGAACGATTGTAATTTTACTATTATTGGCATAAAACGAACGTGGAGTTTTTAGAAAAGATGAGACCACATCCTATAGAATTAATCCACGCCATTTAGAAGATTGTAATGCAGGTTCAGGCAGTAATTGCAGTTTCTAAATCTAGGGATTAACGCCACTTTTACTTTCATTGTTTGAAATAAACCGGTAAGTAATAGTAATCGAGAGAAAAATTAGAATATTATACACTAGAATGTTACACAACGTTACAAAGCAGATATTCTGCAAAGAATGCGATTATGATTCATTTTATTAAGCATAATAAATTATGATATGCCTTGAATATTGGCGTTTACATCTTACTGACATCTCTGTCAAAGTCTGCTTCGCTCCTATCTTCGCTCGCGCTTTTCCTCTGACGTGATGCATATTTCGATTCTACATTAATTCATGCCAACAATTTCAGTTCGATTCGCGAGTCCGAAATTTTGTTTGTAGGTTCACACTTTAAATAACGCTAGCATTCCAACTCCCCAACAAGAATTGCGTCAACAACAGTGCCTGCCTCGAGCTTCGTCTGGTTCTCACTTTTTGGCGGAAGTTTTATCAGAGCATTGCATCTGCGCATGCTTGACATTCTACTGCTCCGTTGTTGACCAGTAGAGTAGGCAACAAATCGAGGAGAAGGTAACGTCACATAACGCAAAACAGCGCGTTGGTATTCGGGGCGAGGATCAAGTCGCAGTGTAAAAGGTAGCTAAGTTGATCATTAAATAAATCGGTGAGATATTTATGATGAGAAGTAGTTGTTGCGAAATGAAATTTCCTAATAGTGCAATTCACATGTTGAATTCCTCAATATTTTACCTCAGTTTTAATTATGGGTAATTTCCAGTGATCATAACCGGATAATTTCCTCAGTGCCGGGAGGACAAATAAGTAGAATGTTACCGTTGCAGATACAGGATTGCCTGGTAGCGCAAAGATAAACTTTTTCTGGGAAGATGGTGATGATGTGTCGCTTGAAACAGTCGCGAAAGTTGTCGGTTTGCTAAAAGATAAAGCAATAATTAGTAACTCTCAACATACAGTCCATATTCTATTGACATCCTACTACTATACAAAGGCTATCCATATTCTCTCATTCAATTGCGTTATCATAGATATTAAATCGCACCCTGGTTTCATCCTGACGCGTCCAAAATGGATAACTGCTCCAATGCTTCGTTCAAGTGTAGGCTTCAATAGATCCATTTCACCCATTGATACTCCTCCTGTCGTAATCAAGACATCGACTTTGGAAAGGGCATCGCTTAGAACACGTCCAAGTTCTTCTTTACTATTATATTTATGGCCAAGCAATTGAAAAGGAAAACATTATTAGTTGGAGCAAATGATATTAAGAGCTTTTTTCTAATTGCATTGACACTAGCATTGCATTACTATGTGAGCAAATGATCGTTACGATCTACGCGAAAAGTCTCCGAGAGACAATGAACCCCAAGCAGCGCCTCATTTTGGTGTTGATGGTTTTTCGCGTCAAAAGTCTACTCAATCGCTAAATAATGTAGGTTATGCATTTGATACCTTCGACACGGCTATTTAGAATTTGACAACTTACTTGTCTTTAACGATTCCGAAATCTATTGCACAGAACCCAGCAGATTTAGCAACGGACAAGAGAGTAGGACGATTGCTGTCTCTTATTTGGCCATACTTCAAAGGTTCCGAATCCGTATGCTTGATCACTTCATTGCCAGTCGAAAAAATGCCGACAGTTGGACGTCGATGTACATGGACCTACTTGGGTGTTTAAAGTGTGAGCAATACTTTAAGACAATGTCAGTCTATTATACTTATGTCAATAAAAAAAAGTGTAATACTAGTCAGAAATTTCCTTCTTCATTCCCCTTCTTACCTTACAAACACCAACCGAAGCCAAAATGCCAATTTCTCCTCCAACTTCCGTAACGACTTCTCCTTTCCTCATTACTATCTCTCCTTTCTGGACATCACTTCCAACCTCTCTAACGTTTTCTCCCTCCTCAACATTAGCATGTATCATAATCTCTTCTTCCTCTTTTCCATCAGCAGAAGTACGGACAAGCGAAGTTTCCTCGACCATCACGACGGCTGTAGCGGATGGGGGTAAGGGGGCGCCGGTTGTTATACGAGTAACTTGAGTTGATGTGAGCGTACTTTGAGTGGACGCGGCGGCGGCAATTGAGGGCATTGGGGATACGGCATATATCCCTGGACCGTTTTTTGCTTCGTTTTAGAAGCGAATCAAGATAAATGTCAGATAATACAGAAAATGACATTCCGGAGCTAACAGAGTAGGTATGTATTATGCACTTCATAACCGAATTGATTCCGGTCATTTCAAAATACATCTTAATCGCGAACTGAAATACTACGAAGAACTACTTACCTATAACCGCGTAACCGTCGAGAATAGATGCACGATAACCGGGTACAGGTTCCAGAGAAACAATATCTTCAGCAACTACATAACCAACGAGATTTTCATCTACTGGAACTTCAATAGTTTCGAGAGGATTCGCCTCGACGGATATTATGTTTAACGCATCGTCAACCGAGATCATTGGATACGGCGAGTGACGTTGTCTTTGTGTGACTGGTGGATTGAATAGTAATTAGTATGGTAATGATAGTCGAATATGTACAAGCTCGAATTCGTAAACCTTTCATACCTGGAGCATCCAAGGGATTCGATAACAACTTCTTCTCACCAGCATGATGCTGACTATGCCCATGGCTTCGATGATGGACGCAATCATGTCCATACTCACGAGTTTCTCCCTTTTCACTCTCTCCACTTTTTTCATATTGCATCGCGTCATGTACAGATGCACCACTTCCACCACAAGCCAACTCGACAGCATGGGGTAAAATTTTCAATACGGCTTCGACGTTTTCTCTGGCTCCTTTGGGACTGCCGGGAACTGTTAGTATAATCGATTTCTTACGGATGCCGGTTACCGGGCGGCTAAGAGCAGCATATGGTGTTTTGGAGAGGGAGGCGGAAACGAGGAGGTGAGTCAAACCAGAGGAGAGTCGATCAAGCAGTGGCAACACGGCCTTTAAGGTAAAAGTAAAGGAAGTTCTAGGGAACGGCAGTTTAGATATAGATCGATGGAGAAGAATAGCGGAGAATGTACCTCTGGCGTCGTATCGCGAACACCAAATCCAGTGCCACCAGTGGTTATTATGACATTGAATGCCTTTGCGTCGACCCAATTAATGATTGTTTTTTGAATCTGATCTTTATCGTCGGGAACTACGTCGTATGCCACGACATGATATTGAGGAGAAGGAAAAAGACTTTGAAGGATAGGCCCACTCTGGTCTTTGGTTTTATCTTTACTGGCCGTGTCGCTGACTAAAGCAGACGGCTAATTATTATATAGCGTAAAAATAAAAGATAATAATTCCCATGATATACATTTGACCTACTTGTTAGAATGCCGACGGTGATAGGAACGGTTTCTGGCAAAAATGGATGTAAATATAGGGATGTAATATTCACTAAATATAGCGATGTATTCGATTCTAATATACGAATCTCTTTACCTGAAGATTGAGCCATGTCAAAATGAACTCGAAAGAGTTAGTAGGAACAATAATAAGTTATGTTGTAAAAGTGGGTTTAATCTCATCAAAATTTCCCTTAAGCGGATGTTAATGTGATACGAGATTTGATGCGCCAACGGTAGCCTTTCGATGGAGTTTTTCCCATCAATCTGATCAAATGCAATACGGCTGTACATTAATCTTTAATTCTCTAACAAGTTCTATTAGTATTAGGATTATCTGTTCGTACGCCGACTCTAATTCAGTGTAACACGGACGAGGAGGCACAATTGGACGATCTGTCAAATTTAGAGTATCGAGTGCTAAATGAAAGCGTTGAAAGGCGGTCGGGTATTTAATTTCGACAAAACAGCTTGTAATTGCATAATGCTCATTTTAGCGTTTTAAGATTATTTCTATCCTTTCCATTTGATTATCACGAAATTCTCCGCAACTCGTCAATTAGGATTGGTATAAACTGGCGGTTTAATTTCTTCTGTTTAATCATATGAATTTACATAAAATATTCACCTACGCTGGGTTAAATCAACAAATAAAGGCATCTGCAAGTAAATCTCAGATATGCCACTTATTGATTTGAGTTTTATACAGTAAATCAGTTCAAAACGGGATTATTACGGTTTTTATGCTCGGACAAAACAAAAGCTTAATTAGACTCATTACTATTACTATATTGTAATAACGGTTCTCATGGCTGGCACATAATCAGGCTAAGAGTGTTCGAATTAGCCAGACTTAATGTTGCAATCATCGGGTTAGCCCACTCGTACGTGATGTAACTTTCATAAAACGCATAAAATAATATATCACATGCAATTTATAAAGTTATACATTATAATAATATTTACTTTTGAATTTGATTACTCAATAAAATAAAATGAAATTTTTCTAGCCAAGACTAATGTAGAACAAACAAAAGCAAAAATTCTATTGGGCTGCAGCTCGTCTTTGTGCTGCTCTTTTCTCGGTCTGTGCCTTGAAACCTGTAATTCGACATAAGCATATTATTGTTCTTGTTCTGGCATGGAACGCTACAACCAAATGTCCTGTTGACCACTTACCAGTCTTAATAGCTGAAACAGATCGTGTGGACCCACAACTTTCACATTGTTGGAAAAATATACGATTTTCCTTTGTCAAAATCGTGTCGGGTGATTTACACGTCTTGCATGTTACATATTCGACTGTAGAATTGAAATGAAAGTTTACGTTTGAGAATCGAATTGAAAAAATGTGTCTAAAGCATGTAATCAGAGAAATTACCTATATAACGTCGCAATACATTCTCTATCTGTTTCTGCTGGAATTTGCCTCGAATGACTAGACGTTGAGCTCCATCAATGGATCCACTCGTTCCCAATTCAGCAAAAAGAAATTGGATTACGTGCTCTGGTTGTCGATGCATTCTAAGCAAAAAAAAAAAAAAAGGGTGAGAACCAACCGCCTCGAATCCAAAACTGACGACCAAAAATTGGAATACACGTCAAACCTCTTGCAGATGTCCGATACGTTGGCAAACACAGTCTTTTTATTACCGTCACGATGAACAGACGGCGGTACAATGGTGTATCTTTTCTTCTCGCCGGCAAGTTCGGGGTTATTGGCTCGAAGTATGTCAAAGACTCGTGTAAGAAGCTGTATAGATGGACATTTATATGAACGTCAACAAAGCATTCGAACCGCAGATACAATACAGCTCCAACAGGGCAGATTTACCTCATCATACAGGTAATCCCGATCCGATCCAAGCCATGCTTCTTTAACTTTACTTTTATCCTCTTCCTCTTTGTTATCCTGGGCAAACACATCGTGATCCTCATTGCCAGAGTCTCCATCTCCTTCCTTTAGTTGCTTTTCGAAACCAGCCAAATCAGCTTTCTTTTTTTTGCGTTTTAAACCCGTCAGATCTCCTGTACTACTAATCTCTGCTGGTTCTTCCTCCGGCTTTTCCTCCTGTTTTATCAATGAACGGTCGATTAACCTTCAAATATTTAGCAAATGGCGTGAGACTACGGCCGGTTGACTTACATCGGTTACGGCTTTCTTTTTCTTCTTCTTTTTTTTCATGCCAAACATGGTCGTGGCTTCATCGTCATCAATCTTGTCGCCATTCTCCTCGGCGTTAGTATCGGCTAATGCAGTTATAAATTGTAAGCGATTGTTGGATATCAGTGCACAAGGGGACAGTGCCAAACCAACCAAGTTCTGCGTCTTGCTGACCCGTCTCTTGAGAAGCGGTTTCTTGTGGCGTCTGCTCAGTCTCGTCTTCAAAGTTAACCTTTAATAATTTCTTCTTTTTCTTCTTTTTCTGAGTTGGATCGAATAATTGCTGCGTATGTGACAGGCAAGGTGAAAAGACACGAATATAAGATCAATTGAGAAAGAAAAAAGAAGCTATAAAAAACATTATAAAACAGTACTTCTTCGGTATTCTTTTCTTCAATGTCCGACATTTTTGCTGCGTGCAATTACGAAAACAAAAAGAAAAGAAAAAAAAAAGAGTTCACGGACGGGTTGTAGCGAAAACTTGGCGCCGCAAGTATCATATAATTGGTTGAGTATTCACGTGAATTTTTATACCCATACATTGTACTTTTTAGGGTTGTAAATTTTGTTAAAGCGAAATGTCATCATCTGGTCTCCCTCCGAGTCCAATATATGTGTTCAGAGGGCACTCCGATTCGGTTAATACCTTACTATTTTATAATGATAATACCCGTCTAATATCGGGGTACGTCAATTTATGTAATAAGAAGCATCACCAATTCATTCGTGCCTAGAATTTCATGTCAATTGCCTTAATATTGAATTATCGTTTGAAGAGACGCAGAAGGGAATGTTACAATATGGGATATTCAATCTCGGCGTCCTATGGTACGATTCAAAGCTCATGAGAATAGCATCCTTGCCGTTGATGTCTGGAAAGACAAATTGCTCAGGTAATTTATCTGTCGATCATTGACTCTTGGTATGATTATATGACTCACACATACACAGTCATGGCAGAGACAATAAAATCCATATCTGGGATCTAAACGAAGACTTTAACCAATCACCAAAGTTATATAAAACGGTTTCAACAAATTCTCTGGGTTTCTGCAGACTGGCAACATGCCCCAAAGACGAGGGAGACTTGCTGATTGCAGTGCCTGGATCTGCCGATTCTGCAACTGTACGCATACTAGTACTGCAAAAAAAAAAAAGTGACAATGTATGTGTTTTGTGCAGAAAGAACCTGGATAATACTGACGTTTATGTTAGATTGATGTGAAAGGCGTTATCCAACAAAATTTATTCGAATCCATTGGGATTGATGATAAGGAATCAAACGGTAAAAACATGATTGCTCATGTGCAAACATCTGGCTCGCGTCTGTATATTGTTAACGAATATTTGGTGTAGGATCCTGCATGGCACTGAAGCTATTTAGCTATTCAGTATCCCCCAATCAATATTTACTTATGGCAGCATATGAGAATGCTCAAGTAATCTTGTGGAAGTTGGATGAAGAGTCGCATGCAGTAACCCAGTTATGGGCTGTAAAAGAGCACAACGAATCAGGTTTAGTCATGAGCAGCAAAGACTTGTGTTTATAACTCTGATCCATTTACTGACAGTATTGTGCCAACTAGTAATGGGTCTAGACGTCTCAAATGACACAAAGTATGCGATATCTGTAGCGGGGGACAACAAAATTGTCAAGTATAGATTCAAAGATGTAAGTTATGATATTCTGGGTCGTTGCATGACCATTCACTGTTTTAAGTCTCAACTATCGACACTTACAATTTTATTCCCTTTTGATTCTGTATAGTCACTAAATGAGACTCCCCAAGTATATTCTGTTAGTATCAAATATCCTGGTATCGCTGATGTTAAGATTAGATCGGATGGGAAGATATTTGCTACTGCTGGATGGGATGCAAAGTAAGCTGAAGGCCGTTCTAGCCTTGCATGATGCTTATCTAATACTTTCGTTGAAGGATATTACTGGTATTTGTAGGATACGCGTTTTTTCAAAATCGTTGAAGCCACTGGCCATATTGTCATATCATAATGAGAGTATTTATGCCCTAGCATTCTCCACGATACTTTCAAATGAAGATATTGACAAGCATTATCTTGTTGGAGCTGGAAAAGATAAAAGAATTAGCTTATGGGAGATATACTAATATGACTGTAGAAATCATTTCATTTTAGAATTAATTCCATTTATATAATTTTAATTAATTGTACATTTTTCAGTATCAAGCTCAATGAAACATATTCTCTTAAAAGTTATTAACAATGTCAGGAAAATAAATATCGGTTTTGTTGGCTCTCTAATACGCCATTTTAGTACTTTCGGTCTCCCGTTTAAACTTTTGATTATTTCCAACCTTTAGAATAGCCATGATCGCTTTGTACTTTGCTCTTATTTTCTCCAGCAACTCCAGCATCTCTGTATTCAGTTGATTCTCAGTAGGAAAGGAAGCAATCAATTCACTCAACGCTGTAAGGTGTCTTATAGATCTGGATTTTTGTAATACATCCAGTTATTAGTTTCAAAGTAACTTGGAAGAATGTTAACTACGCTTCCAAATATGCAACCTTTCGTTTAATCTTTTTCCACCCATCTTTAGCCACATTTTAGTCACGCCGTCATAGAAGCCTATCTCTTGCAGAATTTCAAAAGCCTTCCGAGTCCCAAGTACGTAACCTTCAATCAAACCTTCTGACCTTCCCGCTTCAACCCCGTCTTCGTAACCATATGTTAGAAACCTTAAATTCTCATGCAAGTAAAATCAATGCCCTAATCAGTTACAGTTAGATCATTCGTAGATAATTACATATTTTCCAGGTGTAGAAGATTGTCAAGGTCTGATTCTGTTGGTAGAGATGACATTGTATTCAACTATACAATTATAACAGTAGTTCTTGATCTAAAGCAAGATGAACATTATACATTTAAAGCAACAAAAAAAAAAGCGAATATGACGTCATAAGTGGAGAATGTATGACATATGGCAATAGGAAATGGGTCTAGTCCAAGGACAATTAAGCAAACTGTGTATCGCGAGAAAAGGGCATATCAGAGTAATTTAGAGAAGAAGTAAGAGACTTAGCCTCTTTCTTCCATAGCCTAAAATCATGTAGCTGTTAATTTACAAGCGCGAGCAAGGTCACACAACAGAAATAAGTCAAATTTCACACGCCGAAAAGCAGAAATCAATAATAATTATTGGAAGACAAGTGTGATGGGGATTAAAGTTTAAGTTGTGGAAAAACGACATGTTCACATAAATAATGATTTATTCAGAAGCAATATCACGTACCTTCTGACAATACGTGTGGTAGTGTCTTTTTCTGCGTCAATTACTTTGCAAATTGTCAGTAATGATTCTCTATCTAATACTCTCGAATTCGTATGACACAGTGAAAATATCAAAGCAGGCATGGAATAAAGCGCAAAGTTATAACCTGGGTTGGAATATATCTAGTAATAATAAATGCCCACTCGTAATGGCTTCTTGCTTAGTCGAGAATATTATTTGATGTAACTTACAATCATAGCGAAATTGACGCGTTAATTATGAATTTAAAGAAAATAATTGCGAACTGTCTAGTTAGGAAGAAATCGCCTGCGTTAAAAAATAGTATGTATATGTATTCGTTAGTACAAACGAAACGGACAAGTTTGACCTGAATTTTATAAGATTATAATATTTTGAAAATAGCATGTGCAAAGGGCTCGCCTTTCTCTTAAAGTATTTTTCCATATATGACTTGATGCAAATTTACTTACATATCTACCTTTAACAGAATGACATTTATGAAGCGAGCCTAAATAACGACTATTTAACCATGATCGAGGCTCGTGCTAAATACATTTTCTCACTGGAAGATCAATGAATGTCTACGCATTTGTATTATTATTATTATTTGGAGTAGTGATGAGAGTATTGTACAATCGATCGGTTTTGATTGGTCGATCGAGAACGTTCAAAAAGATTTACCATTTATTATTTATTGACCAGGTTGGCGTTCAAATTTGAATCGATGGCATCCACAAAGATTCAAAAGCTTGGTATATAATAAAAAATGGGTGTCATTTTTGTGTACTCAGATCAATCGGTATTTATAGCCCAAAATTTTGTTCAGTTTTTGTCACAGGCAACGATAAAAAGCTCGCGGAAGTACGAGCAATCATAGGAAGTGCTGTAGAATTGACATCTCAAAAACTTGATTGTAAGTTCTCAATAATCAATGTATTATCATGGGACTTTTATATTGACTTTCAGTCTACCATTAGTGACAGAAATTCAAGGCACGACACAAGAAGTTTCATCGGACAAATGCCGTCGCGCTGCTGAATTGGTATGCCATTGATTAACATGCTACAGTTAATCAGCGTGGATTTTGACTATCATCTCTGTTAAATATAGTTAGGTATACCTGTTATTACAGAAGATACATCCCTGTGTTTCAATGCAATGGGTGGGCTGCCTGGTCCATATATGTAAGCGTGAATGTAAATGTGTGAAATAGTTGTGAATTGGAATTCGTAAATTGACGTTTGCAACTTGTTATGAGAAAATGGTTCTTGGACAAGCTTGGTCACGACGGTAAGTTTATATTCGAATGTTCTTTGCTTAATCTCATCTATTTTGGCTTAATTATTTTCTACTATACGCAGGACTCAATAACATGTTAGCTGGCTTTAATGATAAATCTGCATATGCATTGTGCACTTTTGCCTACTCGGCTGGTCCGGGAACAGAGCCGATCCTTTTTGAGGGACGAACAGACGTATGTACAAGACTCAAAAATCTTTAGATGCATTTCATAAGTTAACTGAACCTCGCGTTTTTACAGGGCAAGATTGTTCCGCCGCGTGGACCAAAAGACTTTGGATGGGATCCGATTTTTCAGCCTGATGGATTCGAACAAACGTAACTAATCCAAAATTATGCTCACTTTTGTATTTGTATAACCGGACGATGACTATCTTCTTTATTATTCATAAATAGCTATGCCGAAATGTCAAAGACTGTGAAGAACAGTATATCGCATAGATACAAGGCTCTAGAGAAATTGAAGTCGCATTTTATAAACACAAACTGATATAAGAACTAATTAAGGATCTTTCGGGTAAACAGTTCATATTATCATATCATTTTGACCGATTATCGCGAGGGACCTGTCGAGATACTCGAACACTGGGAAACGCTGAATATAAAAATACAAGGTTGCTGTTTTTTCGCTATATGGATATCAGGCGTGTTTGTAATAATAAAATAATCACGGCCAATCGTGGTAAATAAGTTCAGCTGAATTGATATGATTTCCCCCCTTATTATAAGACCAATATCTCCGACCCGAATAGAGAGCTACAACGACTGATCTAATTTCGTTATATACTTTCTGTTCCCTATCTGACAAACAAGATCATCAGGCAGAAATGCATAATCTCTTATCATATCTCCGAAAGCCGCTTCGGCCTCTTCACAAAGCGATTCACTCAAATGATTCAACGACCAGAATACGCTTGTATGGAAGCGAGGTTTCTGTTGAATTTATATAGAAAGTTGCGATTAAAAAAAATGGTGAAAGAAATACAAAAATATTGGTTTACCTCATAGAAGGTTGGTTGCTTGAATTGACCGACTACGTAATCTATTTTCTCTAGTAGAGACTTTAACTCGTTTGTTCCCATTCCTACCTCAAGGGCGAGATACGAACACGTTCGCGTATCATTCATCAGTTGAATAATTCGTGCAAATGACATTGTGAAACTGTTTAAAAACGGTTGGGGAAAATGCTAAAATCTCATTCTTCTGTTTCTTTCTAACACACGACTATGCAACTTACCTTTTGGGCCTACCGAGGGCAGATTGCAGGTTGTTCCAAAACCTCTCGATCTGATGGTATTTCAAGATGATTAATCGTGAAAGACTTATATGTAGTTCCAACTCGGTTGCAGAATCATTATCCGAACAAGAGTGAATCGATGTATGATGGGTCTTCAAATAGGTCTCTAGCGAGCGCATTAGATTTAAAAATTCGGGTGGAGCTTTGACTGTATTGATCGATTGTTTAAAAAAGAAAGTGTGAGGAAAAAGGTGACATTTGACGATATGCAGCAGCGAGACATACCCCGCACGTGTATGTGAGTAGCAAAGTTTCCTTCAACGTGAGGTATAGTTCTTATGCGGCCTTCATGTTTGGATGGGTCTGGTATGTGTTTTGTATAGTCCTTTCGAGGATCTTGTCATTCAAATAAAAGGCATTCTTTTAATTCTCTGCAGAATTATGGTCAACGTAATGTTACGACATACCTGGAAACAGTTCCTTGATCTCGTTCGGTACTGGTGGTAGGTTTAGCGAGCCAGACCCTTTGTTTCTGCGGATTATATTTCAAGTCAAAATACATTGCCGGAAGAGAATTGGAAATGCAAATATTTCCTTACGTTGATGCCATCATCGCTTCTCTTGGCGTCTTCTGCCGTTTTCTCTCAATATCAGTTTGCTGAATGGTAGAGTCATCCTCATCTTCTGAAGAATAGTCTACCAAAGGCAGGGGATTATTATTTCTTGAGATTGCCATATATTTAATTATGAAGTAATGAATTATGGATGAATGCACGTAAGACTTTGATCAAGGAGACGAATATAATAGAAATTGGCAATATTACAGTGTTGCGTTGAAGCTGGCAAGTTGGATTTTATGCCAGATGTTATATCTGCCGATATACGGTAGACAAATCGGCAAGTAATGGCTGGAATACTTCGCCTTTAATGTTAAATTTAACACGTTCTAATGTGACTTGCATATACAAGTTTGCGTTACCATATGAGCAAATACTAGTATTCATCAATGACGCATCTTTGACTTGAAATTAAGTCTCTTAATACCTGAAATTTGCCTTCGGCTATTAGAGAAAGAACGGAACCAATCCTATGTACTTGAACAGTTTGTAAGAAATCCGAATGCCGTGCTTTATCTTCGGTGTTCAATTATACAGTAAATTGCTGATGTGATATGGGCGTACTGCAACAAAACCAGACAAAGTGAGCATGTGACGTCGCCAGTTATCTTTCCTTTGAACAAATACTACCATGAATGCCGTTACGGCCATAGTTACTAGCACAGTACCAGGCTTAGCTCGTACTATTACTATCGCCTAAGACTGAATTAAGCCTCAAGTGACCTATTTTAATTATGCGCGCTTCTCATTCCCTATCCGAGTTTCAAACACTCGTGAATACAAATAAGGGTACCTCTAATAGAATAATAACAACAATTATTCTATTAAAGAATCGAAGGGGAATAATACTATTTTATAAAATTAAACAGGGCTATCTTCGATTTGTTTGTCGACTAGTCGGTATCCGTCACTTGTCTTTACTAAACTAATTAAACATTACTCGTCTCGATAATTGATTATGAACTCTCGTAATTGATCGGCGGACCTTATTTTTTTTAACGTATAGTAAATTTTCATCCCTATCACCTGAACTATATATAGTCTTACTCTTTCTGTGAATTTGTTTCATCTTATTGGCAAATGCGAAATATATTCGGTAAAGTGATATTTTTCCACTAACCTCCTATTACCTTTTTCGTTAATTGTTAATGTAGATCATTTACGACCGTTTTTTATATATTCTTTATCTTATCCCACCCACCACCCTTATGATAACAGTTATATTTATATTTATTTATGTTTTATTATAAGGCAGGCCATGCATCACAAAATTTGTTATTTCTATTCTATATTCTATATATGTTGGGGGGTTAGATATCGGTAGTGTTACAAACATAGGGGAAGCCTCATATGAAAATCCATAAACGAAGTTTTTTTCTG